GCCGCCCCAATGGCCCAGGGCTCCCAGAATCCCGGGAAGACACCCGGCTCTGAGGCTGGCCCCCAAGGACCTGGCGCCCGGCCCTCTCAACAAACCCTCTCTGTCTCAAATGTGCCAGACAGCATCATGCTCAGGACCTGGGGCCTGGCCTCCAGGACTTTGCCCAGGCTGTGCGGTCATCCAGAACACCCCCTCCACTGGAAAAAGTCTCACCCATCCTCCTGCCCGGTCCCGGAGGCCCAGCTGCAGTGCTGGCGTCTTCCGCTCCTGCCCGGACCACAGACTCCTCCATTCTGTCCCCAGCACAGGCTCCAGAAGGGTCCTCCCAGCATCTTCCTCCCTCCCCAGCTACAAACTCTGCCAAGATGCCCTTTGAGCTCAACTTTGGTTTGCCCCAATATTCACTCCACCCATTTCTTCCTCTCACGTTTTATGCTCCAGCCACTCTGTTCCAAGAAACAGGCCCTGCCCTTCTCTGTCCATCTGCAAACTCTTCTACATTCTGCAAAACCCCAGCTCCAATGCCCCTTCCTCTGGGCAGAAAGTACCAGAGGTACTGTGGCTCCCACCAGCCTGAAGGTCTCCCAGGCAGGATGGGGAAAGAATCCGCCACCTCGTCTCGGAGCCCTGGCACTTCCAGCTCCCCACCCCCACTCCACACTGCCCCAAGCAACTCTCGCAAGCCCAGAGATGTTCAGTGCGGTATTGTTTACACCAGGCAAACAACAAACCAGATGCCTGAACCTGCTGCCGGGGCCACAGCGTGTTTGGGCAGGGCGGGATGTGCATGGGAATTAAATGTGCCACAGAGGCCGGCAGGGGGTGGGGAGGCCAGGCTGGCTGCGTGTGTCCGGCCTCGCACTTCAGGCTGCTGGTGGCTGTCCTGCCCTGCTGTCTACACGTGTCCAGCCACTGGATCCTGAGGCCTGGATGGGAGGGTGGCATCCAGATCTGCCCAGTTGATCGGCCCTGGACTAACCTCCTTCATCTCATACAAAGGAAACCGAGGCTCAGGGAGAGTGGTTCCCTTGGCCACCTGTCCACCTTTCCAGGACCACTCTGGCAGGTGCTGGGGGCAGCACCTCTTGGGGTCAAATCCCAGCTCTGACACCTCCCCCATCTGACTGTGAGCACGTGACTAGATCGCCCTGTGCCTCGGTTTCCCCATCTGCACAATGGAGGCCACGATTCCTTCCTTGTGGGATCGAATGAGGATACAAATATAAAATGCTCAGTCTGCCGCCTACACGTAGTTAAGCGACGGATTATCAGCTGGCACCGCCATTTCTGTGCTCATTAGCAAGTTATGTGGTGGGCAGACTTTACCTGGAAAAGCAGGGGGAAAAAAATCCCAACATTTAATGGAAATCGAAATCACGGTGAGACACCACACCACCCTCATGAGGACAGCGGGAACCAAAAGGTCAAGACAACACGTGTTGGTGACGATGCAAAGGAACTGGAACCCTCGCGCAGGGCTGGTGGGAACACACACTGGGCAGCCGCCAGGGAAAGCGTCCGGCAGTTCCTCTAACAGTAAAAATGAAGTCATCATATGACCCAGCTTCCCCACTCCCGCATATACACACTAGAGAAACGAAAACATATGTCCACACAGAAACTTGCACAGGGTCACAGAGCCAAACGGTAGAAACAGCCCAAGGTCCAGCAGCGGACGAACGGACACACAGCGCGGTCCCTCCGCACACGGGAACATCACTCAGCCACGAACAGGAAGGAGGCTCTGACACACGCTGCCACGTGGATGGACCTTACACACGTCACGCTCAGTGACAGTCGCCAGACACAAAAGGCCACACAGTGTGTGACTCCATTTACATGAAATGTTCAGAACAGGCCCATCCACAGAGACAGAAAGTGGACTCGTGGTTGCTGGGGGATGGTGGATTAGGGGTGATAAAAATGTTCTAAACTTGACTGTGTGGCCTTTGCTGCACATATCTGTGACGATAACTAAAAACCAACGAACCGTGCACTCCGCGTGGGTGCATTGTACAGTATTTAAGTTGTATCTTAATAAAGCTACTTTTTTAAGTGATTTACTTAAAATCCATTCAAGTTGTTGAGACTAAAGTTTTGAATCCTTAAGCAGCTAAAGAGCTGTGATTAAAGAATCTGCCCCTTTAAAATCCCACGATGGCCACTTTGGGGACTCCCGGTGTGGCCGCGCAGATGTCAGGAAGTGCCAGCATGCTACAACCTCCCACACCAAGAGGTGAAGATCCTAAAGGCACCTGTGACACACCCCGATTCCCGGCCAGCGGCTCCCTGAGTGCACATCCCCGGGCCCCACAGCACAGGAGGTTCCAGGTTTTCAAGGAAACCTGCTCCTCCCGGCCCCTCCCTGGCCTGGCTGCCCCCCAGACCCACAGCCGACTGCCGAATCTCCCAGCTGTCGAGGATTTGTGGGCGGAAGTCAGCCCCAGGCCCTGCCAAGACCGGGGAGGAAGAGGCCGAGGCGGTGCCAAGCGGGCAGCCAGCTGGCCAGAGCTGCCACGTGCCAGGAAGGGGGTGGGGCAGGCGCCAGAGTCAACACCAGCCCAGCCGGAGGAGGGGTGGGGAGGGCCCCAACATCTGCCGGGCAGGCTGGGCCCAGGCCGCTGTTGACATTGGTTGCACAGGTGCCTGGCCAGCTGGAAGGGATGCAGCACCCACGACTGGCCCCGCCACAGACGGCTGAAGAAACAGCCCAGACTGCAGGACCCTCCCTTGACCCCCATCTTCTTGGAATCCAGTCCCACCACCTGCAGGACCCAGCCCCTGGGCAGTATCTGGCTCCTACACACGAGCTCAGCTCAGTCTCGCCGCAGAGCCTTTACACGCACCATTTCCTCTGCAAGCTACACTCTTTATCCGCACACACCGCACAGGGCTCGGCCCAATGTCCCACCCTGAGAGTCCCCCCCAAACTGCCAGATGTCTCCATGCCCCCCGCCCACCTTATTGTGACCCACGTACCATTGCACTAACCTTTCCTACCACAAAACGCCAGGCCCTGCGGAGAGGCAGCTGGGGAGCTGGGCATGCAGGTGTTCGCTAAACACAGGCGCCTGATGTCAGGACACTTTGGTTCCCTGTCCTCCCCCTGGCCTCAGTTTCCCCATCTCGGCTTCTTGCTGCAGAAAAACCCCTGGATGGCCCCTCCCTCTGTGGCACCTGTAACTCCTGACCTGGGGTGACCCCCAGGCAAGCTGGACGAGGGCTCCTGTGGCCAGCCGGGCTCAGTTCCCGACAAACACCTGATCCTCGTCCCTGCTGCCCCCTCTCCCTGCCTGGTCCAGCCTGACCACCCAAAAACTCCACCATCATTGCTGGGCCGTGGGGGCTGGGGCTACCCAGATATGGCATACAGGGGGGTCTTATTGACCTTTGACCCCACAAGGGCCAACTCGGCCTTATCTGTCCCTCTGGGCTCAGCCTGCAGAAATGGAGGTGTCTGTCCAGCCCCAGCCCCCCAGCCTCGGGCTCCCAAGGGCTGGGTGCAGGACAGACAGCAAATATTGGCTGAATAAATAAATCCACTAAATACAATCCACCCTCGACGTGCACACTTGTTACTTAAACTCAGAGAACATCACGAACTCGGCGCCTGGAGACCCCTCCCCCATAACACTAGCCTAAGTGTCCTCATCTGCAAAACGGGACCAGGGGTTTGAGCGTCCCCTTTTGCAGAGGAGGGAAACTGAGGCACAGGAGGCCAATCACATCCTCAGGGAGTTACCCCCACAAGGAGCTGAGAGGCCAGGTCACCCACCCAGCCCGGGGGAAGCCTCCCTGGAGGGCGGGTGGCTGGGGCAATGCCCGAAGGCGAACCCTCCCTCCCGGTTCCTGGAAGCTCTCCCTTCTGCCTCCAGGCCTTTGCCTGAGCAGCGCCCACCTCCTGGAGCCCCATCTCTCTGCCTTTCTACCTCCCAATGGCAGCCCTGGCCTGTTCCCCCCACGCTGTGTCCAATGCCCAGTTCTTTACTGGATCTCTGGGTTTCTGACTCTGGGGTTACAGCGCCCTATCCTATCGGTGTCTCAGAGCCAATTCTGGAAACCCAGGCTCTGGATGGAGCTGCCCGAGGCTCCCCAGGGCTGGTCCTCACCGCAGAGCCTGGACAAGGTTCAGGTCCCAGGCCAGGGAGCAGCTCCCACTGGCCGCGCCAGGAGGTTGGGGCAGGGCCCAGCTGGCCGAGGGCTGGAATGCAGGCCCGGCTGGCTGCCCCCAACGCCATCTGGTTTCCATCTGCCCAGCCCAGCAAGGCCCAACTTCAAAGGCTCCTCTGGCCGGCCACTTCCTCTGGCCCGGCCGCCTGCAGTGAAGGGCCAGGGCGGCCTCTACTTCCTCCTCACCCTCCTGGAGCCCAGGGAGCCCCTGAGGCCGCCTCTCAGGGGTCCCCGAGACCCCCCTGATGGCCCGGTCCTGGTCTCCCCCCTGAAACCACGCCCAGCCGCTGCCTCCCATAGCCCCGGGGAGCTGTTGCACTTTTCCCAGCACCCACGTGGCCACCCCCTGTGCAAACCCCATGGCTCTCCACACACCAGAGTCCACGTGATAGATAAGGCCCTGTCCCGTGTCACCGAGCTCTGTCCGCATGGCCCACCCTCTGGGCTTCACCGACAACCTGCGCCACGCCCGGTCGAGCTGCTGGGCCTGTGTCCCTCCCTCAGACCCGCCTCCCGCGCTGTGCCCAAACCTCTCCCTCCCGGCTGGCGTTGCCCATTGATCTGCAGGGCAGCGCATCTGACGGCCGGACCACCCCACCCCTGCAAACGAGTCTCAGTTGTGTGAGCCCCTCGCCCGTCTTGCAGCCTGGCCCACAGCAGCTCCCGGGAACCAGGCCCGGAACACGGCCGATTGGAAGGGGACGCCCCCACCCCCATGACGACGCGTGGCCCACCTGCTTGAACTGCTCCTCGTAGGTCCAGTCCCCGTGGTCAGGTGGCTGCAGCTGGGGAGCCACATGGGCGGCCCCTCCAGGGTGAGCCGGGCTGGGTCCCGGCCGCTCCGGGCCACCCAGTGCCCTGGGAATGCCATCGCCGCGGAAGGCCTGGAGAGGCTGCGCCTTGCGGGGGAACAGGGCTGTGGAGCCCAGGCTGGCGGGGCCCGGGGGACCCAGCCCCTCCTCTTCCTCCTCGTCCTCGTCCTCATAATCATCCTCCTCGTCCTCCTCCTCGTCCCCAAGGTCTTCCTCCAGCTCCTCTTCCCATTTCGGCTTCCTGGGGCAGGCAGAGGGCACAAGTCAGGGGAGAAGACACCAGCGCATCCCAGCCCCGGGGCAAGGTCCACTCCCATCCCAACCTTGGTGTCCGTCCCTGAAAACAGGGACAGCGGGCCCCTACCAGCTCAGGCTGCAGAGAAAACCGGCCAGCACGTTTCGTTCCCAACAATTAGCTCAGAAGGCGAGAGCTGCCCCTTCAGCATAAGCCCCGGCCCCCAGCTGCCTGGGCTGCCTCCCCGCCCTGGCTCCCCACTGCCCCACAGGCTTCCTTGCTGGGCCTTGAAAATCACCACGTTGAGCTGGTTCCTGCCTCAGGGCCTTTGCTCAGGCTGTTCCCTCACCAGGCATGCCGTTCCCCAGCTCCCTTCCCCTCCTTGAGGCTGTCCTTTCTTCAGGGACAACTTCGCCCACCTCTACCCACAGAGACTGGACCCCCCAGACCACCGGGGTCTCTCCAGTGCCCAACGCGCAATCTTGCAGCAAGCAGGCCCTCAGCAGGTCCCAGTGGGACACACACTCTGGGCAGGTCCCACCCGGGTTGCAGCCTTTGCCTGCCCCTGCCGCTGAAGGCGTAGCCACGTGGGGCTGGGCCGTTTCAAATTAATAAAAATAGAAGAGAGTTAAAAATGGAGAATGTCGGTCCCCCAGACACGTTTCATATGTGACCGCAGCTCCCATGCTAGATGGACAGGTTATGTCTCTCGTATGCGCTACGTGCTCAATAAACACTCCCTCAATGAGCAAGACTGACAGGTGTCAACAGCCCCCCAGACCCCAACTCACAGGTCATCGTCAGAGCCCACGTCCTCAAAGTGCCCGTCTCCTTCGGTGCGTCCGGGCCCTTTCCTGCCTCTGCCTGGCGGGGCGGGAGAGCCTGGTGTCCCCTCCCGGGCTGTGTCCTCGTCCTCAGAGCCTGGTGGCCCATCCTCAGAGCCACTGGGGCTGGGTGGATGTCCGAGACCCGCGGCAGCAGCCCGCATAGCGGCCAGCGCAGCCATCTGTGCCCGCTGCATGCGAGCATTCTCAGGCTCTCTGTCCTCATCGGGGGTGGCCCGCGCCCGGGCCGGGGGACCAGTTGGGGGGTCGGGGGTCGGCTGCTGCCGGGCTTCCAGCTCCTGACGGGCCCGCTGCTGCCTCTGCAAGAGCGTCTCCATCACGGCCTGCAGCTTCATGGCCCTGCGGGCCGGGCCACCACCCCGGGCACCAGGGGTGGGTGGCGGGGGCGGCCCCTGCGGGGAGGGGGCCCGACCGCACTGCA